TCTCGTCCACATTCGCCTGATCTGATCCCGAGAAGTATCTGAATCTAATGGCTGGCGAGTGGTTATTTGATCCGCGAATCTTTGCGGTTACATAAGTCCTGCCGTCCTGTCGAGGAGTGCCGAAGTCGTGGGCAAACACTGTGAACACACATACCTTCCAATAGTCGTTGTTATCTTCGGCCGAAACGGTTCCGCAATTAATAGACCCCTCTTGTGCTGTGAAGATAATGCCAGTATTGGGGTCTATATTGAAGTAATCGTTTGACAGCAGATAATAACTAATTTTGCTGTTTTCGTTGGCCTCCTCATCGGCATCAGTAGCCCTGACCTGAAGAATGGACACATCTTTTCCGATACTTTCATTAAGACTGACGCTGTAGTCCGAGTGATCAAAAATTGGTGGATTATCGTTGGAGTCTAAGATTTTGACGTTAAATAAGACGGAACTGGATTTGAGGCCCTCATCGATGGCTGAAATGTTGAGAACATAACTGCTTTGAGATTCTCTGTCGAGATTATCCGAGACCTCTAGATGTAGGAAAGCGCTGGACGTGTTGTAGCTTAGTTTGAAGGGAAAGGTGTTTGTGGTGTATATACCATCTGTGCTGTTGTTCACATTGATCTGATACTGGAGATGACCCTCGTCAGGATCTATGGCTGTGTCTAATATCACTTTAGTACCTATTGGTGCCGATTCACTAAAAGACAGGTTAGTTTTGATATATGACGGCCAATGAGGTATATTGTCGTTGACGTCCAATATTTTGATCTTCACTTCCAATGGATATATGGGTGAAGACGAAAGGATCACTAAATTATAAAAGTTTTTCGTTTCTCTATCTGTGGGCACATTAGTTGTCATAATAACCCCAGTCTTTGAGTCCAATTGAAACTCTGAGGGCTCGTCATTGAACCGATACGTGAATCCAGTCTTCACTGCAATTCTGCCGACATATGTATTCGGCGCTGAATTCTCTTTGATTTCGAAATAGAAGATATCGTTGGAAGTGGTTGTGGCCGATAGGCTGGTGTTGATACACATACACTGCAGGCTTAACACCACTACTGATAATAATTTCGACAAAAGTCTCCCATCTTTTAGCACTGATGAAAATCCCATCGCAACCATCTCTCAACTCAAGCCACAATCACCACAACTATTGTATGTCTGATCTCTTCACTGATGTCATTGATAAGAGCAATACATTTGTTTGATTTGATTGTAATTTCTAACAAAACCGGTTAATTTGATTCGTGAAACAAATGAATCTTAATATATTTGATGAGAGATTTGAATAGTTTTGTGTTTTTACAGCGAAATAGCACTTCTCTTAAATTCATATATAACTGATTGAATGGGTATTGAAATACGGAAATCACTAATTAATAAGAAAGCAATACTTGATTAGTGTATTCACACATTGAACAACACTTTAAATGATAAGAATTTGATGTTTAATTTAGTGGTAAAATAGAGGCAAAAAACAATTGCATTGCTGTTAGTGTGGAACCCTAGCCTTCTTTGGCAGTCTTTGACATATTATCCATAGCAGGGCTCAGGGATTACAAAATAAACTTTAAATTCACTTTTGTTCAAAAGACTGGTCGCCTCCCTCTCCCCTAAGGTTCAGCTCAGACACAGGTTCTCTCCTCCAGTCCTCCAGATCTGCAAACCTGTTCTCAGGAATGTTCGCTCGAATACAGCCAAAGAGCCAATGCCTGCAAAAGTTTGTGTAAAAGTTTGTGCAAAAGTTTGTGCCAAAGCCATAGCCAAAGCCAAGTGCACAGCCAGTGTAGAGCCGGGCCATCAAAACCAGACGAACTAACGTTCCTCTATTTATTCCCAAAACTTAGTTCCTATATTCAGACATGAGTTTCAATTCAATATTCAAATAATTATTGTTCACAACATTTCAATGATTGCAATGATTTGTCTTTTCAAAGAATATTCTGTTGAGACTTAATTTTAAAAGAAATCAGTTAACAGTTTAGTTCATTCTTGAAAGTTGAGAACATTTTTTCTAAGAAATCATTTTTTCCTCAAATTTTTTTTTCCAAACCATTATTTAGTTATAGTCGTAAAAGTGGAGACCCCTTAACCCCTGTTTAACTTAGTTGATTAAACTGCAAACTCTATGCCTGTTATAGTTATAACAAATGAAAATTTCCTTTAAGTCTGTAATTATTTTCATCGAAACACTTATTCACTAAATAGATAGACATTGAGTCTATGAAAAAAGCGCTTTTGATTTATGAAAATAATTAAAATATAAACTCAGAATAAATGGCAAAATATATAAGGTTTTACTTGTTTTCGTAAATTCTTATTTAGTTATTTTGATGTAATTAAACATTTGAAGTTATTCTCAAACTATTTACTATTATATGTGTTAAACGTAATGCAGAATCACTTTGAAGAGAGCATTTGTTTGAAAGAAATGACATTTTTATCCTAATTTGTGAAATATTTTTGGTTTGTTGAGCGCATAGTTTTTGTGCTGTTATTGAGTTCTTGTATTCCTAGAGACAAAAAGCAAAAGATTTTGTCGATCAAAGCAATAGTTCCGTCGGTCGGTTGGGACCAAACCCTCATTTGCATAACAAGTTAGCATCTGATGCCTGAGGCGTCAAACAATTTATAAGTAAATTCAATGATCGCTACTAACAAAAGAGGAGAAGAGCTCGTGAGCCAAATACTGGCAAATACTGCTAACATATACTAAATGCTATTTTCATTATAACTTAAATAATGTGCAGTTTGTGATAATAGAAAACTTATAAACACTGTATGAACAGTGGGCTTATTATTCGGTGTATATTTTGCTTGTTTTTTGCTCTTTTATTATTAGAACCAGTTTTCCACTTGTATTACAATTGTTAGAAAAAAATAAAATTAAATTAAACAAAAAACGGCAACAAATCAAACACTACAGCATATGTCTCTGAGTTCACTTTGTTCTTTAATAAATATTTTATGGCATTTCCAATGAATTAATCCATTTATAATATGATACAAAATATGATTTCTAGAAAAATAAAATATTTTCCAAACGGATGTCAAAAATATCGCAAATAAAAGATTCCGAAACATCTTTGTCTAAAAGATTTTCAAACTCTTAAAGAAAATTAAAAATTTAAATATTTTAATCATTCGTTTAAAACATGGCTTCAGATTATTTTATAATTCAAATATTCATCAAAATCACTCGTTTGGTATGAGATTATCAAATGAAAATGTATGGCTTCTCAAAGGGTTATAATCCAAGTTTTTGTGGAAAATGTAAATTCTTGCAAATAGTTTCTCACGAATTGCAAAATATGCCAAATGTATGCCAAATACTTAATACCATTCCACCGACTATAAGCTTAAGTCATTGTACAGTACATTGTGTATTGAGTATTGAATATTCCTTTGCTTTTCTCAATGGCTTAAGGAAACATTGAAAAGTGTTCTCTATTTTGTGGACACATTTTCATACTGGACTCCTCTATATAAACATTGCTTTATATAAAAAAGTTTTGTTAATTCAGAAATTTAGTAAATATTTGCTTCAAAATATATCATTTATTTAATAACAATACATTTGACGCCTTCTTATTTAGTTTTCTCAAAATATATATTTAAATAAATCCTACTTTTAGTCAATTTCAGTAAAGCATACCTGTAGTGAAAATAGCGGCAAATTGGGAGCTAATAGTAAGCGTTTTATGTTATACTGTATGCTTGTAAACTATTACTTGTACACGGATAGGGATACCAGACAGGGGCCTTTCCCACCCTAATAACTAACTGGAATACCTTTCTATTTTCTCAAATACAAAATGAGAAGACATTTTATTAAGAATTTTACTCAGGGTTAAAATAAGCCATTTCATATTTGTTTTCATTTAGATGTAAGAATTTAAATATTAATTAAAATCCGTGTAATATATTCAATATGTTACTCCGATTAAAATTTGATTAATATAACATAAAATAATTTATGAATAAAAATTATGTTAATTGTGTGCAATATTTCTGAAACAATTTTTAAAATTTAATTGAAATAAACCAAAAGCCCAAAAATAAGACTTTTATATTACAAAAAGTAATAAAATAAATGAAAAGTTATAAAAATATTGCGCTGTAAAAAGATGCGAGATTAAGATAGCTTTGCAACAAATATTTTAATACAGAAATTATAATTTTGCAAAAATATTCAATATGTGGCATATCTTATGATATATGAGTTTACATAAAATGGCCAAATATTATACAGTATTATAAATCATTGAGAAGGGATGGGTAGCTCTTTAAGAAGTGCACGTTCTCTTGCCATTCATTACATTCATTGCGAAACAGATATTAATTTTCAAAGTAATTAAAAAATAGCTTTTCTAACGTGTATGGGTATGACTTTAAAATAAAACAATCAAACATTAATTTAAATAAATTAACTTTTAATTCATAATTTTAATTAATTTAAATAGATTTTACATGTGTTATTTAAAAATTCTATATAAAACTCATATAAAATTGCAATTCAATATAATTGATAAATAATTGTCTCTAAATAAATGAGATTCTCATGAGATTTTTATATTACCATAAGAATGAATATAAATTGTGATAAATATTATATTAAGTGCTCATAGAGTTTGTATAATAAGTTTACGTCATATAAAATATGATTCTTAAAAATATAATAAATTACCGTAATATACAATTTATGTATAATATGTAATGTATTTATATAACAGTATCATTCGTGTAAATAGCATGTCATACAGTATACGATACTTTAGACCCGAGTCTTACAGTTCAAGTCTGTAGTCTATGATCATTGATCAGTGTCAATTTTAATTTTAAGTGTATCACTAAAATGAGTGAATTATTGTATAGATCTGTTATATAAAATGCATTTGTATTAAATACTTAACATATAAAAGTGTATAAAACTCATATAAATATTTTTATCCAAACAAACAATTAGTGTTTGTGTTAAACAACTTGACATTTGGTGTAGGAATGAGATTCTATCCATAAGTGTTTGATCTATGGATATAATACAATGAATGTTGGGTTTTGCAACTCTTTGATGTGATAATAGAGCGAAACGACCACAAGATATAGATAAAAGTGATAACAAGAATACGACCATAAGATTAGAGCTGCAAATGTGGCCCATTCCTGAAACATACAAATACAGGCATCACATGAATCACATGAATAGCTGCAAGTGATGACCAATGCTTACGTTATGGTAATAGCGGTAAACCATAAAAATGCCAAAAGATACGACAAATAAGATCTCGAGTAAAGTGATGTAAATGAATGGCAGGTAATAGAATCGGGTTTCCTATGGGACAGACATCTCATTGTATTATATATGATATGCTATTAGTATATGTCTTATGGATATTAAGGATATTATGGATACAAACAGTTTTAATGCCGTGAATGAGACCAAAAGAGCAGAAGAAGATGTAAGAGATGGTGAAAATGAGGAGAAATACTGAGGAGACTGTCATTCCGTATCGATTGAACTCAAAGAGTGGTGAGAAGAAGGTATCACTTTGTCCTCCCATTAGGATATATATTGAATAAAACAGAAGCAATACGTGAATGAATGCACAATACAGTGATATAGTGATGGATCCATTCCTCAGGTTCATGAACCCAGAGTTCAGTGTAAAACACGGCGCCCAACACCCCCTCAACAGAGCCATTATCTATGGTTTGCCACCAAATGGATCACAAGTCACCTGCAGATACAGACAAACACAGACACAACTGACACACCCGTCCGTCCCATTCATGCCATACCTTTCATACCTTCACAACACACCTGTAAAGCACTTATTTGTATCGCATATAACGTTATGCTTATCAGGGGTTGAGGTCCAGACCCCGCACTTGACACATGTGTTCAATTTGAACCACACTTTCCATTCATATTTAGTAAATGCATTCAAAATCATACATATTCTCAATATTTTCTCATTGGATTCTTTACTTTTATGTATTATTTACTTTTATTTAAAATTATTTCTTCAATATTTCATTATTTGAGTCAATAATTGATTATCATATCCCAGTCAAAACTGTAAAGAATATTATATTTGTATTGAGTATAAATCAAGAATCTACACATTATACAGATTCTACAGTATATTGTTTGACAATTTTAAACATTTTAAAAGTTAATTTTGGAGAGATTTAAAATAAAGTAAAGATAATTAATACAAAAGCACTCGTCAATAGGAGACATACATTAGTAGATAAAGTTTGTGACATATTTTTGGTAACTTTAGTTTGGTTGTCATCATTTTGTTCCTTCGGTGACAGATCACCACTTCTGGAAGCGATTCGACCAATTTGAAAGTCTTTGGGCGCCTTATTTAGAGCCACGTTAATGGCCTTCTCTTCACCGCCAGGCTTATCACAAGTGACGCCTTTTGTCACAACTTTATTGCAATTGAGAAACTCTTTGATTGGTTTGAAAAGGCATTCCTGCGGGACATCCAATTGCATACGAAATGAGCAGTACTTGTCCTCAACAAAGAGGTATAACTCTGTGTTTTGACCGCTTGTTCTTAACGTGAGGGTCGCGTCGATATGTTTCGGGCGTTGGGTTTTGGGAATTCCAAACTTCTTGAGCTCTAAATCCATATTAGAAATAACCGGGGTATCAAACTCGATGCCTACATAATAACACAATATTCAATAAGAATCCCTTATAAATAACAATAAATCATATTAGTGGCAACCGAATTCAAAGTTAAAGTCCAGGACAGTTAAATTTAAGTCATTGAACACCAGCTTTGTGTGAGAGTCTGTTGTGTCATAATATGCGGCAGACATTTGCGAACTCTTCAGAATCTTTTGAGCCTCGGCTGAAGACGTGGCGATATTCTCCATTAAACCCTTGTGTGGGATATATCTAAACAAAAAGACATCTAATATTGAGTGGTATATAAATAACACAGAATCTCATATAATATCACTTCAGAGAACCCCATTCAACGACATATGGGTTGAAATTCCTAAAAGTATAGAATTGTTTGCTTTCGAAGTAAACGGCGGCCCCAATGAACTCAACTATTGACGGGTGATCTATGATAGTGACGGCCGTCCTTACCGGACCATTCATCTCACTGAACAGACTTCTCACAGGACAGGGACCTCTCACACTGCCTCCATTCCCTCTGTTCACAACCTATACATTCTTGTTGTGATCAAATACCACAAGAGTCTGATTGTTTACAGTAGTGATCGCATCGATACGGATCTCATCACACATCTTATCGCTTGTGCTTTCACTCAATATAGTTAACAAAACCATTGCTCTGATGACTACAACTAAATTTAAAACCACTTTCATGTTTGACACGTCAGTAAAACTTAAATCTTGACAAATATGTCAACTTTTAGGTGAACTCAACGTGTTTTCACATAAACGGCCAACAATTTGAATGTTAGAGAATTGATAATTTAAACGATTGAATGCAAATCACGTGAAATGTTTAATGCTTTAGTTTTTACATTGAACTCAAATGATTAGAAAACTACATATAAATTATAATACATTAAACCTAATGATAAGACCAAATCTGAATGAATGACACCGAATGTGGTCTCATATGCAGTGAACCACTACTTGTTCTTGTGGTGACTGAAGTGACTGAAGCCCATAAGTCTGGACATGTCGTCGGTCTCAGAGGTGTGTCCGCTGTCGTCCTCTTCGGCTCTCTTCCTCTTCTTCTTCTCCTTGCGTTTGTCTTTCTTGTATTCCTTGAGTCGGTCCTCTTCTTCCTTCACTTCCTTCAGTCGGTCTTCAATATCAAACTCTTTGCGCTGTTCTTCGAGTTTCCTTTTATTCATTTGGAAGCGTTTGCGGACGTCTTCGAGTGTGGATCTGTTCACTTTCATATTCATTCCCAGATTCCTCTGGTGTTTCTTGCCATTGATGTGATCCAAGTAATTGATGGAATCCTTGACAACACAGTCACAGACATCACAATAGAAGCCTCCGGTCTGTGAAGAAGGCGTCGATTTGTTGATCACAACACTCTTCCCTAAACCCGACTCTAAGTCCACTCTATAGTCCCGTGGCTTCAGATTCTCGCGTTTCTTCACTTCCTTCGGCTCTTCCGCACCGCTCTTCTCGTGGTCCACATCTTCGTTGTCGTCGTCACCACTGGAACCGTCGTCTCCTCTCACCCTTTGCTGAGCTCTTCGTTCGTATTCTTCTGTATCCCATTTGCGGCGGAAGTCATTGACACCCGAAGACATGGTTGGCTCCACGTGTCTATCAATTCACTAAATATATCGTAATTAATACCAAAACATAGAAACCATTCAATTGTTGCCACTATTTGTCACCAAACAAGACATCAACAAAACATTCACTTCTTAGCCATCAGTCAACAGATGGCGACTAATAATCGCTAAAACTTTGAAACTTTTGACACTTTCGGTAGTCTTATGACTGAATTGATTGTAATTTACTGTAATTATGAGTTGAAAAGTGTTTAATTAATTTATTGAATCAAAATGTTAGGACAAAACAAAAGTCAAGTTTTGCATCAATTCAATAGTTATTGTTGTCTTCTTCTTGGGTTCGTTTGAGATCAGTCTCGGAGTAGAACTGATTAAACCATCGCCGGAAGCGAACCAATGATCTCTCGTTTTTGGTTAGAATCGGGTTTTTAATGAATTTCTTGTTATTCCAGATAATGATATCCCTTTCAATCTGTTTGGACACAGTTTCCCATTAAATGAGTGATCAATCAATGCTTTACTTTCAATGCAAACCATTCGTATTTCTCCGTACAGAAGAAATTTAGCCAAAAGTTTGCCACAAAGTGTGGCTTCAGAATAGATCTGATGGACAATTCGGTTGCGATTCGGGGCCAGAGGTGTAATGAGTTGAATGAATGCTCCAGACATTCCTCCCAATGCACTGGTATTATAGGAGAGTTCAACAAATGCGGGCCCTATTTGGCGGATCGAGAACTGGATCTCCAGTACAGTAAAGCCGAAGAATTTATTTTTCACGTTTAATTTCATGAGAGCCATGTGTGGAACCGTCGGTGATGGCCACCACTCTGATGACCACTCGTGGGACACTATTTTACTCAACCAATTATAAAATATACTTTTGTTGATTACAGTCCCAGACATCACTGCCGGTGTATGCAGTTCCTGGATGTGCTGTCCGTCGGCGCCATTCTCTGGGATTTCCTTTTCAATACATTTTAGTTTAGACACAATTCACGTCAAACAGTGTATGAAAGTTACCTGAAAATGACAGTTCACCGTATGTTCAGTCCTTCCCTCATATCTCCAAACATTGTTGTGAATCACAGGTATTTCAATGGGAAACCAATTTGGTTGCAAACCCTCCGAGTTATACCAAACAAATACAGTGTTATTCACTTCTATTGATTCCCAAACTTTGATTCGAGCCGTCGGTATTTCACACTCTATTCACCAATCATCACATTTTTATCAGTTTTTACTATTTCAATACTACATCTATTTTATTAATATGTATTTTATACTATTCTATTGCTGTTGGAAATTATAATCAAATACATTGTATACTACAGTATTACTTTAAGTTATTAGTAACTATACTATTTAATTAAATTTGAGTCAATTGAATAGAAAAATAAATATTAAGCAGTATGCTTTTGAACAAGATATACAAATACAGTCTACTGGACTTACTTGTCAATTGAGGTATTTTAACACAAAGCCCATCACTGGCCCTAAAAGTCCATCCATGAAATGGACAGCGAATGCATTCTTCGCCGCATTCTTTGACAACCTTTCCTCCGACACCGATATTTGCGCCCAAATGCGGACAAAAGGCATCTAAGATAGAGACGCGACCCGATTGGCCTCTAATGGCCACCAATTCATAGCCAAATGCATTGATGTTTAGAATCTGATTGAAGTGAATAAGTCTGGACTCAAGCACTGGAATCCAACCGTTTGGATAAGTCGGCGGCAAATCCTTATTAAGTTTCTCAGTTTGAGTCACTTTTGCTTCACTCAAGTCCTCAAAATTATAAAACCATTTAAATTATTAATTCAAACAATTAAATTTACTTTTCAAGTCTTACCACAATTTTCTCATTAAAAGTCAATACATAATATAAACAATAAGTTAACAAAATGAGGAATAAAATAATTGCGAAAAACCATAAATTAATTGCATTTAAATTGAAATTTGTATAGAAATGACAATAATAACTGATTATATTATGAAAATTCATCGTCAAATTAGTGAGATTTGAGTGAATAATATGTTGAATTTAATAAGTTTTTTGAATTTTTTTGGACAAAAAGTGAGTGTAAAATTTTTGAGAAAATTGGTAAAAGAAAGTCTTAAACTGAACTTAACCTTCAGTTTCAAACTCAAGTCCAAATAGAAAATCACATTTATTTTCTGGGATTACTATTTTATTTATATTTCTTACCTGTTTTTACAAAAGTATATAAACTAGGTAATTTATATTATTTATTCATCAGATAATATTCATTTATTAATATATTA